CGCCAATAAGGCGTCCGACAAGATAAGTCTTATAAAATATATAGATGTATGATAATTGATACTGAGCTAACAGATGAGAATCCTAGTCATTGGCCAAGCAGCATTGTAACTAATACAAGTCTCTCTGTGTATTCATTTGGGCCTAACTTGGGCAGGTGGCTGGTGTAAAGCTTACACATGGCAGTGGGGCTCAGCAGCTTTTGGCAGAAAGATTTATTGTAACATTTATCATAACAGGAGACAGGTTGCAAGAAACCCTGTCTCAAACAAAGGACGGAAGGCATCTGAGAAATGGCACCCAGGGCTTTCCTCTAACCATTACATGTGTTCAAACACATATGGATACGGACAGACCACACTTTTAGACTCTTCACACAAACATATGCAAAAGAAATTGTGCATGAGTCATGTATCGAGAAGTACAGAAAAGGATAAGCAACAAGTTCAAACATTTTATGATTATCATCTGTCTATCATCTATTTCTCTTTCTCTTTATGTATCTATCTATCATCATCTATCTATCTATCTATCTATCTATCTATCTACCTATCTATCTATCATCTATCCTTTTTCTTTCTCTTTACTTTCCTCTATCTCTCTTTCACTTTCTCTCTTGTGGAAGTATGGTATATATAATTTTAACTGCTTTTTTTAATACTGTTTAGATATGTGTGCATGCAGGCGTGTTTTTACTTATTAAAGATGACATTTATATTCCTTTACTTTCCTTAAGACTTTAGTAGCTATGAGACACCATCCTACCAAGAGAATAAAAGAAAAGTATTAAATCATATTATTCCAATTTTGCAGCAAAATGGTGATAAACTGTGGAATATTTGGCATTGAAAGAGTTCACATAGATAAAATAAATGCCATTTCAGCGACACTTCTTCTACTCCATGAACAAAAATGAAATGATAGGATTCTTCTGCTCCCAGTGTATTGAAGGTGGCAGTATCATTATTAACTAAGGCCAAACCCTGTCAGATTGGAGCATGTATTAGTTTGCTATTTGCTGCTATAGCACGGTGCACAATATTTGACTTAGAGCAACATATTTATTATTTTATAGTCTGTATGACAGATAGCTGACAGTACCATCACTGGGTTAAAATCAAGATATTTCTAGTACTGCATAGATTTCCCCCAGGAGAGGAGTCATTTTCTTTCCCTCTCTGTTTTTAAACCTTCTCTTGCCCCTTTTCTAATTCCTGTACTTGTCCACTTTCCAAGCTTAAAAGTTAGACATCCCTCAGTCCACACCCTTGCCTCTTGCTTCTTTTGTTGACACATTTTTAAAATTTTTTATTTAAATTAGAAACAAGCTTACTTGTCAATCTCAGTTCCCTCTCCCTCCCCTCCTCCCCTTCCCCCCAATCCTTGTCCCAACCTCTCTTATATATCATGAATAGTGATATGCTATCACAAGCCAACAGAAAGAAAGAGAAAGGCTCTATTTATATTTTCCAGCTAAAGCTTTTATTCCTTCTGTACATTTCTCCATCTGTTAAGAAAATGACACTGGTCATAGGTAATTGCTATATGAGTGTTTAAATATATATCCAAATGCCCTGAGACACTTAACAAAAGATTTGCAGTCTGCTAAGGACATGTCAGGACTGTATGGCAAAAAAAAAATTGTGTTGTTTTATTCCTAGCAAATGAAATTAAAGTACTTTAGTAATGTTTGGGTTTTCCAACCACTAATGAATTCCAGACTTTGCATATCTATAGAACTTTCTGTTTATTAATTAATCTTTTTTTCTAACATTTTTCCCTTGTTGGGAGTATATACATACAGACACATACAGAAAATTACATATGTGTATTAAAGTATTTTAGTCAGGTATATATAACAATACTAATGTATTCAAAAATGGATCACTTCTAGGAAGATTGTTATGTTTATCTAGTATTCGCAGTGTGTTTTAATGGGTCATGAATAATAGCCTTCATTTTACATGAGATCTTTGAAAATTGTCCTGCGGACATTTCAAGTTCAATTAGTTAAACGATTGATTGACATTATGTGAAAGACATTTGGCAAATAGTTTCTAAAATTTCATTAAATTAATTTTATTATTCAGTATGGTATTACTTTTATGCCTATGTCACAAAAGAAATAGAAAGATTTAGCAAAATAAAATTGTTAACTCAAAACAATGTGCTTTTTAATTGTACAACCAGAATATAAGTCTATATAGTTTGACTTTAAGGTTTATAGTCATAAGCATCAGGTTTTAGGGCTTGATAAGTTGAAGAATCAATATTTAGATAAAAAAGACTATGTGTTCTCACTTTTAAATCTAGTTTGTGCTGTTTGAACAAGCTACTTTTTGTTAGTATTTAATCATCACACTTCATTTTTTCATGGTTTTAGTTTTTACAAGTCTCTTGTCACTACTATCACATGTGAAACATGGTTATGTTCTAGAGAAGAGATGCATGCATGCGCCTTACTATGAGACCATCTTTTTATTGTCTTAATGTAGTTTTAATCTATGTTTTCTTGATAATTAAGGGTGTTGAACACATTATAAAATGCTCAGTAGCAATGTGGATTTCTTCTTGAGATCTCCAAAGGACTTAACTACAAACCACTGAGAATGAACACCAAGGGATCAACATATTGAACCAATTGTGACAGCATATATGCCCAATGTGAAGATAGAAAGTGGTACTACATTCCTCTTATACAGTGGATAGTTTTCTGTCAACTTGACACAAGCTCAAATCATCAATTAGGAAGATGCCTCTACTGGCCTATAGACAAACCATAGGGCATTTCCTTGATTAATGATTTAGACAGAGGGTCCGTCTCACTTTGGGGGGTACCATAAGCTGTGAAGAGCAAGCCAACAAGCAGCATTCCTCAATGGCCTCTGCTTCAGTTTCTGCATCCAGGTTTCTACCTTCAGCTTTGAACCCAGCATTATTTCAAGATAGAACATATGCTATAAGCTAACGTAAGCTCTTCTCACTCCAAGTTGCTTTGCTCATGTTGTTAGACATATCATCAGAAAGCAAAATAAGACATCCTAGGAGGCAGTTCTGGTATCTTTATTATATGAATGTCTGCTGTAATTCATTTCTCCAGTTGCAAACTGTGCTCAATATTTTGGCTAATAGTTTTGACCAATTATTATTTTTTAATTTAACTAAGGTATTTACAAATTGTACATACACATTTGCACAAACAAAGGAAATACATCAAAGTAACTTCTGTGGATTTCTTGTTCTTGAGCTGGTTCAGATCAAAATTTGTGCTACTCATAAGAACAGTTACCCAAAAAATTCCTGGCTACTGAATAGTATTTATCAAACTATAGAATATGGTTTGTGTAGCACGTACAACAGGAATAATAACAAAAGTTGTTTCTTATAAAGTTGTTGAATCCAAAGCATCAAGACTCATCTTTCAGTGGAACTTTCCTTTCATCTTAACCCTTTCCAAAATATTTTTTCTAAGTAATTGTACATATTAAGCCTGAGCCTCTGGAGCTTGAAGTCCTAGGAAAGTTTTTTTATTCACTAAGTTTTCTGAGATCTATCATAGTTTCTTCTCCTTCCCTCTCCTGCCAGTGCCCCCCACAATCCCTGCCTTCCTCTTACCTCTTCAAAAACTGGCAGGCCTCCCATGGATTTCAGCCAGCAAGCAAATATCAAGTTGCAGTAAGACTAGGTGCCTCCTTGTTGTAGAACATTATTTTAAGATGTGTTACATTTGTTTATGCCGTGGAATATTTGTTTTTATGATGCAAAGATGTGTTGCTTTCTTTTATGTTGCAATTTTTAAACTCTGTGAAGCTGTTATTCTTTGCCTGTCTAAAACACCTGATGGTCTAATAAGGAGCTGAGTAGCAAATAGTGAGTCATAAGAAAAAAATAGGTGGGGCTGCCAGGCAGAGAGGATACATAGGAGGAGAAATCTGGGAGGAGAATCAAGATAGAACAAGGAGAGGGGGATGTCAGGAAGTTGCCACCCAGCCAGCCATGGAGTAAGAGTTGAAAGCAATATATACTGCAGTAAGAAAAGGAAAATGCACAGAGGCCAAAGGTAGTCAGGATAATTTAAGAACGAAACAAGCCAAGCTAAGGTCAGGAATTTATAAGTAATAGTTAATCTCTGTGTGTGATTTAGTTGGGAGCTGGGTGGTGGGCCCACAAGAGAGTATAGAGCTCAAAGAGTAATAATAATAGTGATAATAATAATAATAATAATAATAATAATAATAATAATAATAATAATAATAAACACCTCCTCTCCTGTTAAGGATGAATGAGGCAACCCAGTATGAGAGAAAGAGTCTCAAAAGCAGGTAACAGAGTCAAAGACAGCCCCTGATCTCACTGTTAGGAGTCCCTTAAGAAGACCAAGCTATGCAACTGTGTCATGTGCAGAGGGCCTAGATCAATTCCATGCAAGCTCTTCAGTTGGCTGTTCAGTCTCTGTCAGCCCCTATAAGCCCACGTTAGTCCAGTTGGCAGTTCAGTCTCTGTCAGCCCCTATAAGCCCACATTAGTTGATTCTGTGGGTTTTCTTGTGTCCTTGGATTCTCTGGCTCCCATAATCCTTCCCCTTCTTGTGCCAGATTCTCTTTGCTCTTCCTAATAATTGGCTGTGGTCTCTGCATCTGTTTCCTTCAGTTGCTGGGTGAAGTCTCTCTGATGACAATTGGGTTAGGCTGCCCTCTATGAATACAGCAGAATGTCATTAGGAACATTTCCTTGACTCTTATCTAGTCATGTTGGGTTCTATCCTAGGTTTTGGGGCTATCCAATTTCTGGACTCTGGTCCACCAGAAGGGGTAGGCTCCCTTTCATGGTATATTTCTCAAGTTGGGCGAGTCATTGTTGGCCACTCTCATAATTTATGTACCATTTTTACCACAGCATATCTTGTAGGCATGGAAAATTGTAGAACAAAGGTTATGTGGCTGAGCTGGGGTCCTAATCGCTCTACTATCACTATTTCTCTGTGGGACAGTTTGAAAAGAGGGATGGTGATACCTCCAAAAGTTCTTTTATTATATAGGATTGTTTTAGCTATCCTGGGATTTTTGTTTTTCCATGTGAATTTGCACATTGTCCTATTAAGTTCTGTAAAGAATCTCCATAGACTCAGTTGGCCAGGGGTTATTTGCTTGGATTCCAGGTACATTTAGTGATTTGGAGAACTTTGTGAAAACACATATATTTAACTCTCAGCACATAGCTTGCCGCTCTTCACCACTGACTTTAGCATACCAGTGATTTGAAAAGAAGTAAATGAAACTGGAGAAGTGGCCTTTATTGAAATCAGAGGACCTGTGTGAAGATGATTGAGTATCATATGTGGTGAACCATCTCTGATGCTAATATGTACACAATTGCTTTTTAGGAGAAAAGTAAAATTCAAGATTGATGGAGTTTTAAATGAAAGGGAACTCTTTCTCGTAGCTTCACCTCTGCTTATATCACTTTCCAAATAGAGGGTAAGCTATTGTGATTTTCTTCAGAAATTGATCAGAGCACAGTGACACTATGTACTGAATCACAGTTGAAACATGCAGAGGACTTCCCAGACATTTTATTGTTTTATCAAATTTTATTTTCAAAATGTTTCTGTAATGCCAGGTGGGAATTATTTTAACTCTAAGTTACAGCTTGTGATTTCAATATCTCTTAGTTGTTTCTTCCCTAATCATGACTCCACAACTTTCTATATGCTTCTGAAAGGAATTTGTAGAAGATCTTATAGTCTCGAACTAAACTTCCCCAATTTCTCAGCAACCTTACAAATGAATGGAGATGCTGAATGGCTGCTCCTTGATAAACAGAGATGGGGGTGTGTCTTGAACCAGATACACAAGGATCTCTAGGCCAGAGAAAAGGTTACCTTTCTTCCCCCTCACTCCATCTTAAGCACTAATATTCATATCTCCTCTCACCTAAAACACTGGTATACAAAGTATTTTTCAAGAAGATGATTAAAGTCAGTGATAGTAGCATGAACAAATTCTACCAATTACTTTTCAAACAGTTGTGAATTAAAGACAATGTCAACATGATACATGTTGTTGTAAGAGAAAAACAGTGACTGCTGGCAACTTCATAATGATAACTTCTGGAAATGACCTGACTTTGCAGGTCAGGCTCAAATCTGAACACTACACACAATTGATTAACACTTTCAAAATAGTACATTACTACTATATTGAGAGATGTGATCTCCTTAGGGGAGAGAAAAAACAAACTTCTTAGGACTCATTAAATCAGTGACACTACAATAAATCATAACCCTGTTAAAAGGAAATAGTCTAATATAGACAGACCTGGTCCAGCTGTTCCAATATCATACAGCATATGGAGCTTAGTAATTGGACTCAAATGATAGCTGTTAAATCACTTACACCAATGTGTGGCATTAGACTTCTATAGGAAAGGACAAAATACTTCTTAAGGTGTTACTAGCATGAGTAATGTCCTTTAAACTACTCGTGAATATCTCCCAGATTAAGATCTACTTGTTGGTTTCCATGGAGACCTTTCAAAGTAGAACATGTTTGTTCCAGGTCATCTCAGGGTATAATTCATTTTGTGATTTGTTTGACTTCACACTAGCACTTCCTTCAGGGTTTTGTTATTTGTATTTTGTTTGCTGGTTGTTTTAAAAAGCACCAGGATTTCTAGTTTATATTTTTCTTTTAAATTTTTTATTCATTTTATATACCAACCACAGTTCACCCTCCTTCCCCTCCTCGAATTTACACCTCCTCCCCACCACACCTTCCATCCTCTCCTCAGAAAGGGTAAGGGGAGTCAAGAACGTTAAAATAAAGTTCACTTAAAAATAGCAACCTTGTCACCCTGTGAATATCCATAGTAAGGACAATATAGGGGTAAAACAATGCAAAATGATTTAGTTTTATAGGCTTATAATAAAGACTAAGATTTAGTTGCTGGAAATATTTGTGTCCTGTCATTAGGGGTGTGAGATATGCATCAACTAAGCAGAAGGACATGTCGTTCCTATCTCACTGGGTCATGTATTGTGTACAGCAGAGCTTACCCTGCTATGAACAAACATGTTCTCTGAATGGAAATTCAACTTTTTCTCAGATGAATTGCTTCTTCTCGTTGCAATTTTACTTTAAACCAGATCTGCAGGCCTCCTTCTATACTTTTGTTTTGGTGGTGTGGTATAATTCATTTGTAACTGTTGGTTAGATGCTTCTTTGGGAAGAAAGACAAAGGACATACTGTTTGCCCACACTGCCATGGTTCTGTGGATGCAGTACCAGCTGCCTACCTACAAAACATGAACCTATCTGGAACCTGAAATTTACTTCTGTCTCCTGTTTTTGTTTCTTCGGTATATAGCAGAAGCCTTCCTTGTGCCTTTAATCTATAGATTGACTCATTCTCTGTTCTTTGGTTTCTTAGTTTTTCTTCCACCTGTTTAACCAATCCCCTTGGCTAAATTTACTTTACTTTAAAACCTTAGGATGGTTTCTGTTTTCATAGATGGAATCTGACTTGTACAATCTCAAGCATCAACTTGATGTTTCCAGAGGGAGGTGTAAAACAGATGATGCCTGCCCATTTTCCTCACATTTTATATCAAACGTGACAGTGTAGATGCCTAATACAGTCTATTGAAAATTAACCATGAATCCATTTCTCACTGGAGGAAATTGAAAGAAAATGTACCAGGAAAACTGGTTGGAATCATAATGATTATAGAACACATAACAGAACAGGAAATGAACCACAGTGCCTGAGAATTGCCTCTGAAATGGGAATCCTCTATATTTAAACTCTGTGACAGGCATATGGCACAACTTAGTTGTCAATGTCAAGCAACAGTACAGAGAGGAAACAGGAAGATAAGAAGATAAGAGAGTGTTGTTTTTTTAGGTTTTTGTTTGTTTTTTTGTTTTGTTTCTCTGAGAAAGGGACTCTGTATTTCTGCTGACTTCACATTTGTAGTACTCCTCCTGTGTCTGCCTCCCATGGGTTAGGATTGTCTAAGAACTATCATACATTGCTATATACAGTGGGATGAATTAACAATAGTTTTACGGCTTCCATTCAGGTGACGAAAAAGTTTCACAACTTTCTGTCCATAACTTAGGACCAGAGAACAGTAATGTCTTCCTGTAGGTAGAGTTTCTTCTTGTCCTGCCAAGTCCTACCACCCTTCTCAGCCTCAAATAAACACAAAGATGCCATATTAATTATTAAACTGTTGTCTTATGGCTAGGGTTTCTTATTGGCTAGCTGTGTCTTAATTATTAACCAATAGCTACTAATCTATATATTTCTACAAGGCCTTATCTTACCAGGGAACTCCTACTGCATCCTATTCTCCTGGTCTCTACATGGTGTCTCTTCCACGGTGCCTCTCTTCCCTTTTCCTCAGCATTCTCCTTGTATATTAGCCCTGCCTATCCTCCTGCCTCTATTGGCCAAACAGTGTTTTATTCCTTAGCCAATAGGAGAAACGTGTATACAGAAGGACATCCCCCATCATCTTCCCATGGGGGTTTATCATATTCCTGTTGGAGTAGTGAGGTTATCCACTGTGCTTTCCCCCTTCAGCTTCAATGCCCTACTTGATGTGACATCCTTATTTCTCAAGCCCAGTTAATTACCCCATTTAGATCATTTCAACATCCTAATAATTTTTATCATCTTTCCAAGTTAAACAATTTCTCCCTCCTTTGCATCCTAGTCTGGTTACAGCTATGTCATTTCCCCCAAGTCAAAGCTACTGAAATGTTCTCTACAAATATTATCTTCTTCTTCCCTGAGCCTGTATTTCCATATCTCAAAAGAGACCAGAAATCTTTAACATTTACACTAAAACCATTCTCAGTAAGATCACTTGCTCATAACAAATCCAGTGGACACATTCAGCTTTGATTGCTCATGGCTTCTCAACAACTTTGATTACTTGAAAAATTTTAAAAATTATTTCCTAATATAATTATATTATTTTCCCAACACCCCTTTTCTCCCTTCAGTCCTGCCCACATACTTTCCTTCTTTAAAATTCATGGCCCATTTTTATTTAATTGCTGTTATACAAATATATACATGTGTATATGTATATGATATGATATATATCTATATATTCACTCATATATGAATACACAAATATGTACCTAAATGCATGAATACCACCTCTTCAGTGTATATAAAAGTACCTGTATGCTTGTTTCTGCTCTGATTATCTTTTGTTGACTATAATAATTTGTCTAAATTTGAGTCTTCACAAACTTTCCTCCTTCTGTGTTGACATACAGAGATTATGCTGGTTTTGTGAGGTGTCAGTTGTAGGTTTTCATCAAATACCCATGGCTTCACTAGTCTTAGATAGTTGATTAGGTTTCCAGTAACAGGAGTGCTTTCTCTCTCCTTGAAGGGGTTTTAGATCTATTTAGAGATTGTTTGTTACTGCCAAGGTATTTATGTTAGTACTGTACCCTCAGAGTTCTTTTTGTTGTCTTAGTTTGGCTTTTTTCACATTCTGTTCTTATGGTTTTGTCATGTTCTGCTGAATTTTGACTTTCCAAGTTGCCACTCACAAAGCTAACTCAGCCACACTTCCCCTAGGCATACTTTGAATCGTCCTTTCCCTTTAGCCAGATGCATTTTTCTTGATAAAACTTGGCTTAGTAGCAATCTGTAGGATCTTCTCCTTCTCCTTCTTCTCCTTCTCCTTCTTCTCCTCCTAATTTCTATAAATCTGACTCCATCTCTGGAGTTGAGCTAAGATTCAAGATCACAAATATATGGGAACACAACCTTAAGCTTCCTCTCATCTTTTTAATTTACTATTGTTCTGAAATATGTGGAATAGTTCTTCCCTTACATATTATAAGTGAATAACACTTGTTATGTACGTGTTGAATCAGATGCACAGTGCAATATCTAAATCTGATAATCCCCAAATCATACTCTTACTATATGTGTAAGAATTGTTAGCATGTGAAATCTGTTACAACCCAAATGAACAAGTCTTCTACCTATATTTGTAATTCAGTGGCCATCTTTGGCCATCTTACTCAAGACAGCTGTAGAAAGTGATGAAAATGGTCACATCTGGTTCTCATAATGTTCAGGATCTGTACTCTTCTCTTTATTCTCTATAATATATAAATTCAGTTGTCAATTCCTTGATCAGGAAGAGTTGCTTGGCTATGTATGTACCTGACTATCAGTCCAGTAGCCTTTGTACCTTGCCTATGTTTAACCCAATCATACTTTGAATTAACCCCAGGAAAACATTCTTGTGAGCCCTATATAGTGATTCAAGACTCATAATTTTCCTTTATATACTCTTCAGTAGTTATACTCCTGAATCTCTAACCCAAAGCCTGTCAATTTCATAAAAGCTTTAAAAAACTCTGGTCTGTTCAACATCATAATCTGTTACATTCCAGAGTTCCTGGTATGAAATATAATTTGTGAAACAAGAGAATTAACC